TAAATCATGGTCATTTTAGTCATTTTAATATTTGACCGTTGCACAGAGGGTATATGGTAATGTTACCAAGATTTAGAAAATTTATAGTAGAATAAGCTAAAACTTGGGGGTAAAATGCAGTTTGCCCTAAATCTAATTATTTTATGTAAAAAGGTATTGAAACAAAATTTGATGGTGAATAAAAATATTTGGTGACTTAGTAGAGGTAGAGGGTAAACATTAAGGACCATAACTGAATTTTGACCAATACTTAATGACAACTTTAAACCTGTTTATATATATATATATATATGTATATATATATTTGTGATAGATATTTGTCTATATTTTTGCAGGTTATCCCAATGATATATTCGGAGACCGTGCCGCCGCATTTGCAGAACACAATCGACATGATATTCCGATACATAATCAAATTTTGGTGCAGCTTTGGCCACTCTAATCAATTACGGATCATCATTTTATCCCGAATGGGGTTGTTGAATGCCCTTTCTGATCGTTTTCTTTCTTGCAATGGCACTCTTCTGAGTCCAGTTGAAAATAAGGGCACGAACAAGTTTTCGAAGCCGAGAATAAGCTCATGAAGTTATAAAATCACGAATGAGAGATTGAGGAAGAGATTCAACAACTGGTAGATCTGGGTATTGGAGATGACCGCCAGCTTAGGGACTTAATTGATCATTGGACTCGCTCGCCACTAATTATCGATATTTTTGTTACTGTTACATCACCTTAATGGGCACCGGTGCCCTTATGTTCTTTGGTCCACTGGTTTTGAAATCTCTCGTATTCCCGTACCAAGCTTCATTCGCTGGTTGGAACATTCTCAACCAACTTATCCTCATTTTTCGTCAAGAGAATTTGAAGGCAAATTCCTGTAATCTTTTATTTGAAGGCGAGTTTGGAACCATAGTTATCAGTTATCACTATGCTACATGTTTCTAATTATATCCCTTTTATTTCTTTTGTTTTATTATAAATACATGTTTAGTTTATATCAATACATAAGTTTCTTTCTCCAAAACAAAACAATAAAATAAAAAATATGTGTGATACATTCTTGGGTCTCTTTGTGATATTCATAAAAAAATTTGCCTAAATTTCCCTTCAATAGCAATAACCTGGGCCAGTTCAACGAGTGCTATCACCCATATTTTAGGCTATAGGTTACGTAGTAGAGATTGATAATATTATTGTATGTGCACCCATCGTTTATACTCCACATTTTTATTATTACTTGATATTCATGTGAAGGTCATATGCATTTTCGTTGTAAATAATGTGCAATTTGTATGATTTTTGTTACGAGTGCCTCAATTCTTTAATTTTCATTTTCCTTTCTTTTTAAGAAATCTTGTAACTCATGTGTAAAAAGTACTTTTAAGAACATAATTGAGAAATGGATAAAAATTAATAAGTTAAAGTGGGTAAAATCTTACACAACTTTAGTTTTTTTTTTTTTTTTGAAATAATTGTAATAGAATGCATGTAACTAATAAGTGATTTGTAACAAAAATGCACGTAACTTGCACGTGATAATAAATTCAATAATAAAAAGCAAAAATAAGTAATTTGTAATAAAAATGCACGTAACTTGCACGTGATAATTAATTCGGTAATATAAAGAAAAAGTTATCGAATTAATGAAGCAATTTGCACGCATTTTTGTACATTTTTTAGATTATTCCAAAATTTATCGAATGTTTGTGCATTTAATTTGAATAATTTAATTAATTTTGTCATGCAGTTTGATTTGTATATTTCTCACACAAATTTCTGTATTTTGAACTAGATCCAACGGATGACAATGTGAAGACATCGGATGAAAATGTCAAGATACCGGCTAACGAGGAAGAGAGTAATAACATAACAATCCAAATCATACTGATAGCAATGCTTGGAGGAATGATAATTGGTTTATGATGACATTTCCAGATGAGTTCCCGTTTTGATATGATCTTCCATCAATTTGTGGTTTCATTAGCGGGACACAAAAAATAAAAAAAAAAATAACTTTGAGGGACACAAAAAAAAAAAGTGAACCTCAAACGGATCATTGAACTATTAGGTAATTCTAATAAAGGTCATCAATCAAATTTATTTGTATAACAAGTCACCATACTAAGCAAAAAGTTCATCCGAGATCATTCTGTTAATATTGGCAGTTAAATAGTGATGGAAATCCACTTTTCACATGTTTTTGGGTTCAGGAGTATTTTTGTCATTTTATTATTTTTTAATTTTTAATATTTTAAAAAATTAATAATTTTTTTTTTACAATTCTTCTTCTTATACTTTCTAACTTGTATATACTAGTAGAGTAGTAGTATAATTTCTAAAAATTTCAAAATCTAATTTACCTTTTGTATTTTAACTTCTAGATTATAAAATTTTAAAAGAAATTTAAGAAATGAAGAAGAAAAATTCGAGTTTATAAAATTTTTTAAAACATTTAAGAAATGAAGAAGAAAAATTCGAGTTAAAGTAAACATAAAAATTAATAGTTTACCATTTTAAACTAAAAGAATTAGCTAGGACGAGTTGTTTCTTCTAGGTTATTTAATTTTTTTCAACTCGATTGAATTATATAATTAATAATTTTCACGTTAAGTTCAATTTGAATTTTATATGTTTTTCCTTATTCCTTTTTTTCTTTATAATCTAGAAGTTAAGATACAAATGACAAATTAAATCGAGTTGAAGTTAGTGTGAAAATTAATAATTAAATAATTCAATCGAGTTGAAAAAAATTAAATAACCTAGAAGAAAACACTTGTCTTAGCAATTTTTTTTTAGTTTTTCTTTTAGTCAAAATGGTAAACTATTAGTTTTCATCTTTACTTTAACTCGAATTTTTATTCTTAATTTAAATTTTTTAAAAAATTTTATAATCTAGAAGTTAAAATACAAAGTTAAATTAATTTTTAAAATTTAGAAATTATACTACCAGTATATACAAGTTAGGAAGTATAAGTAGAAGAATTATAAAAAAATATTAAAAAGATTAAAAATTTAAAAATAATAAAATGACAAAAATATCCTTGAACCCAAAAGCAGGTAAAAATGGATTTCCGTCACTATTTAACGGCCAAAATTAAAAGGATGATCTCGGATGAACTTTTTGTTTAGTAAGGTGACCTGTTATACAAATAAATTTGATTGATGACATTTATTAGAATTACCTAATAGTTCAATGACCCGCTTTGAGGTTTACTAAAGAAAAAAAAAAACTCCATCTAAGACCGAATCTTGGCGATACAAACTCCATCTAAGGTAGAATCATGGTGATACTAATTTGATGGTTGTTCCCAAAGTACGATTAGGAGAGCCATGATTGGTGGCTTGGTATTTATCAATCCAAATAAAATTTTATTAAAAAGTTTTAAGTGATTAAAGAAAGTGGCAAGTACTTAATTAGAAAAAACTGTCAGAAATGTGATCATTATGCAAAGAAAATAAAGGTAATACTTGCATTTGACACTGACCATTTTACATTGTCCAAGTGTTGTAGAAATATTGTAAAACCTCCGATTTCAAATGTTTCAACGCATTAATGAATGGAAAACTCTAACTATTAATTTAACGGTATAGACTATAGAGGAGCTTGAGAACTTCCTTTATGCTTTTTACAATAGAAGAATTGTCATATGGAGTTTAAACTTTTCAAAAACACTGAAACTCTATTTCTATATTATGGAATCGTGTTATGCCTGTAGTGTATAATGTAATTTTGGGACCTTGATATACTATTCTTTCATATGTATTGCATTTGCTTTAGTGCTATAAATACTTATGATTTTTTTTTCTAAATCAGGTGGCTTGTTGAGCATGAAAGATTCTTGTGATAGTTATTTCCGGATATCTTACGTACAATGGCTGAGACAAACAAGATTAACTTCTGTACTTACATGAATTATTTGTGACTGCGATACCATTACATGTTGTGCTAGCCATTGCAATGGTATTGTATCTGGTTTTTAGGTAGGGTCGAAAACCAACTTTGATCTTAGGATCATTTTGTTGGTTGACCGTATCATCTCTGGTTATGTGGTTTCCAACCCCTATTTTTGCATTCATCGGATGCTAATTCAAGGATTAGGACTCGGTATCGCCTATCAGGCCATTGTAGATCAACAATATATGATCTAGTCCAAACTTTTTTATTTTAAATTCTAAGTTGAGTCAAATATAGGCACCGGATAATGTTATTTTTTTTACGAAGGCAGACTAACTGAGAAGTTTTGTTACAAAAGCATTAAGATTATGTAATTCGAGATTGAATAATTTTTTTTTTCCTTCTATGTCTTATTCAACGTTAGAATTCATTCTTTCAAAATATGCAGAATATGCCTAAATATGCAGAATTCATTCTTTCTAGAAGTAGGCGATCTAAGTAGGCCTAAATACCAGACACTGTTAAGATTGTTACATGGGCTAACAGCAGAGTTAGTCTCTTTTTACAAAGTTTCAGGAAGGCGATTTCTACGCCAACGGGAAGAAACAAAAAAATCTTCAAGAGAGCGTGATCAGCTTCAATCTTGTAAATGGAAAGCACAGGCACAATGATCATCTCAGTGCAAGGCAATCACATTGCCTCAGGAAGTGAGAAACCATATATGAGGGCTCGGTACGATAAATGGACAAAAATTCTCAAAGGTTTACCTAGAGAGCTAGTCTTAATGCAATATGTTTGATGGACTGCCGATTCTATGTAACGAAAATTTGATGTTTTATCAAACAGAAAGACGTAATATTGCATCCGGACAGTTGTCAGTTATTTCTTTTCCCCTTTCGTTTCACAGCTACGATCTTATTTTTTATTTTTTTTTTCCTTCTCGAAACAAGATTAAATAAACTAGCCAAAAAAAGGAAACTTGGAAACCTCTTGCATATATCTATTACAGTAATCTATGTGTCAATGATGTGGGGATGAGAACAACTCCTAACAAATGTGTCTAAATATAGCATTTTGCATGTTTCTAGATTTCCAATGATTAAGTCACGTCTTCCCTTATTATCCAATAAACAGGGTTGTTTTTATTGGATAATGAATTATCATAATATCCGAATTCCAATGTTGTGGAAGAAACACTATATAAAGGTGAAGAATATACATTTACAATCCCAATAAGAATAAAGAAAACAGAAAAAGTGATACATTAGTTATCATGGCTTCCAAAATATCAGCATTTTTTGGTTGTCATGTTTTAATTGGATTATTGTTGTTGAATCTTGTTTCTGCCAATGAAGGCACCAAAATCGAAGTATTTGAGTTGGTGAGGGGCAATTTTTCTGTCAAGGTCACCAACTATGGTGCAACCATTCTTTCTGTCATCCTTCCTGATAAAAATGGGAAGTTGGATGATGTAGTTCTTGGATACGATACGGTGGATGAGTACAAGACAGATTCGACCTATTTTGGTGCTCTCATTGGCCGTGTCGCCAATAGAATTGGCGGCGCGAAATTCAAGCTGAATGGTGTCGAATATAAGTTACCGGCTAATGATCATGGAAACACACTTCATGGTGGCCCGAAAGGATTTGATAGTGTTATATGGAAGGTGACATCCTATCAAAAAGATAGTCATATTTCTCTCCATTATCGTAGCCAGGATGGAGAACAAGGTTTTCCAGGTGAAGTTGATGTCTCTGTTCACTACATGTTTGTTGGATCAAAAACAAAATCGAACAGATTGGCTATCAGAATGGAAGCAACTCCTCTAGACAAAGCCACGCCAATCAATTTGGCCACCCACAGTTATTGGAACCTTGCAGGCCATAACAGTGGTGATATCCTCTCGCATAACATCCAGATCTTCGCATCCAATATCACCCCGGTTGATAAAAACTTGATCCCTACAGGTCAAATCACTCCTGTAACAGGAACAGCATATGATTTCCTCAAGTCCAGGGCAATCGGGAGCAGGTTCAATGAGATTCCAGGCGGTTATGATATCAATTACGTGGTTGATAACTACAAACAAAATGGGCAGCTGAGCAGGATCGTTCTCTTGCAAGACACTAAATCAGGCCGGAAAATGGAACTCTGGAGTAACAAACCTGGATTGCAATTTTACACAAGCAACATGTTCGACAATCTCAAAGGGAAAAACGGTACTACATACCATAAACATGCTGCACTTTGCCTGGAGACTCAAGGGTTCCCTGATTCTGTGAATCATCCGAACTTTCCTTCCCAAATTGTCAATCCAGGACAAAAGTATGATCATATGATGATTTACAAGTTCACAACTCGTTAATGTGGGCCTCATGTTCTACCTAGTTTCTTCATGTACATTACATTCTTCCCTTTTGTATCACCCGTTTTGTTTTGTGTATATATGGTCTCTCTGGAAAAAGAGACCTCACAGGCTTACATCGCCTGGTTTAATTACTGAAGCATAATCAAGCTCTTTCTTCTGAGTAACTAATTGCTGTAACGGGCACAGAATAGTTTGCCCTTCCTCATTTAACAGTTGAATGCTTGCTTTTCTTTCTTTCTTGTTTTAGACTTTTAGGAGTCTCTTCACTCAATTCTTGGCTATCATTCACTATAATCAACTAAAGGCAATATTGCTCACTCATTTCAAGCATATCCACAATTCTTCATCAATTAATAACACTTTGAGAAGAATGCTAAATCATAAAGACCAAATTAAGAAGGAACAAAAGCAATGAAAAGGAAACCCCGTGCTAAAGCTCTAGACTTCGATATCAAAAGAATAAACTCTTTCATTAGTGAATAAGTTTAGCACCTTAACTGGCACTACTGCCTATACATACATGAGCGGACTTCCTAACCGACTAGCCAACTAGCTCCTTAACAACCTTTCCCATTTAATTTGCACTAGTACCTTTACATTAAAACACACCAGTTTTTCTATCAAGTACCACTAATACAACAGAATCTAAAAGTGTTAAATGCATCAGACATGATGTAACTGCATTCCCCAATCATCCGCATAATAACCGTTATAGTTCAGATACTCCCAGAAACGTGAAAGACCAAACTCACCATGTTTTGGCGTCCTGAGGTAAATCAGAAACAAATCTTTGACATTTTTCGTAAAAGTTTTCTTTATCTCTCGCACCTGCAACATAATCAGCACTTTGTTTAGATAGCAGTAGTGGTTGAATGCTAATCCTCTATCATGTCGAGGATTCAGGAGACGGCATAAAAAGATTTTGCCATGTACGTCTCAATTAAATAATTTCGGTATCTCAATGCAGAATCAATCAGTATATTCAAAATATCATTGACACAGAACATTCAGATACCAAAAGTTTACCCGCAAAGTGTCTATCTGTGGAAGTTCGGGACAGTCATCCCCACTCAGTCCAACCTCCGAAGCGCATGCAATCAGACAAGAGCTTAACTCAACAGAACATTGGAGCATGCTTTGGATGATGTTTGCAATTGACTGGGTCTCTTTAGACAAGAAACATCTGCAAAAATTTTAATTTACGCTTAGGTGACAACAGTTGAAATAAGTTAAAGGGGTGGTTCAATAATTGTTTAACGGTTATATATGTCCTGCCACCCTATGGAATTTCACAGGTAACTGAAACCATGCAGATGGATTAAAGTGGAGTTGGTATGCAAAATATAATTAAAAAAGCACAGAATGAAGGAGTTCAATAATGGCTTCTTCTGTCTCTTCAATATAACTCAGAATCACCTACTGTAAAGCACTGAAGACCACAGAAAAAAGTAATCGAGTTCTATCACTCATAGGAGCAAATGCAGATTACAAATCTATCAACTGTGTTATACAGAGATACACCTACATTTTGTATTCAAAAGATGCAGAAGCGGAAAAGTACCAAGTAAAAAGTAAAACACGTGAGTGCATGATTTCATATCTGGAAATAAAATAGAGTCTTACATGTGTAGTGATTCAGTGAGATATTCCATATGTGCTTCCTCAAAATCCATCATATCTTTGACCTGTATGAAGGAAATGAATCAAAGTGCATAAAAGCTTTGTTAGTAACAAACATCCAAATAAGGATAAAGAAGAAAGATAAGAGAGAATGGATATAATAGAAGTCAGTATAAAGCTTGAGCTGAAAAGAAAATGAAGGTAATCATAACTGCAGAAATATAATCCACTACACCCTACAAATTGTAGAAGAATGAGATGAAAAGAGCCCCTTGTAAAACAAAAAGCGCACTAATAACAGAACATATTTTATTCTCCTGCCTTGTAACATCACAAAAAAAGTAAATATAAGGATAATAATAACGAAAAAATAGACATCATATTATCCAAGAACTGTAACACAGAGACCACAAAATCACGATCTAACCATGAACCCGACTAAAGAACATTTCGTTAAACAAAGATGGCAAAGAGCATGAACCTACAAGCTGAAAGTAGATGGAACCACTTCCTTACACCTCACCCAAGCAAAAAAAAGAAATGATAAAAATATATAATAATAATTTCAAGCTCATCAGATTAGGAGTTGAAAATATGTGAAAATTGCACTACCACGGTTTTCAGACACATCCTAAAGGGAAGGGTGGTGGTTGAATGGTAAAAAGCCGTGTTAACTCACAACAAGTAATACAAATACAAACGGGAATCGGTAACTATAGAAACGTCGTTGCTCATTTTAGCCATACACCAGTGACTAAATGTATCTAAGTAGAACATGTAATATCAAGAAAAAGAATGAATGCTTAAGAGGTAATTCCGACTTAGTTGACTGCGTATGATCACGAACCTTGTGCTTAAGAGAATTCAAAAACTTGCACCAAGATACATGGGATAATTGTGATTGAACATACTGCTGCAAAGTGGACACGAAATGATTCACCTGGTGCCTGAAATAAAGCAGGAGATACATATAAGTATATATGTGATTAGCAATTTGATTGATATATAACTAGATATAGCACTGCTGTTGAAGGCAGGAATTTCCAGCGTGCAATTCCCTTCAAAGCCAAAAGCTTTTAGAGTCTCTTGTTCAAGAAAAAAAAAATGCAGAAAACACAAATTGCTTTCTTTATTTTCACAGACAGATTTTACATCCATAAATTCAAATGCATAGAAAGCTTCTGAGAGTAGCACGTCTAAACTAAGTCCGAGAAAGGACATAATCTAGAACATCAGAAGGCACAATTGCGAACTTTACTTAGTTACTAGATGCAGAAAAGTCAATGATGCTGCAATGTCTACTAACTTATGGATTTTAGCCATACAGTTGAGATCCATAATCCATAATGTGTAAAAGGATTCATTGATCTCAGAAAGGAGAATTTAAATGCAGTAAATCAATTATTATCATGCTGACAGTCAAAAGATATAAGAGTAAGATCTTAGAAATCCCAGGAAGCATTTCACATGCCCCGCCTGAAATCAAAAAATAATAATATGTAATCTGTCAAAACAAAAATTAAAAATCAGTAATTCAAAACAAATTTGCTCTGAACGAAGGTTCTAATCTCCTTCTTTTATCCTTTGGAGGTGGTGATTCTCCTTGTAATACAAATGTATTTGTTTTTATGGAAAAACTAGGTCCTTGGTAATGGATTAAAATGAAAAAATATGGAGGAAAGAGACAGTCAGTCCACCTTGTTTGTGTGAAAACTGAAATATGCTGCAGCTTGAGTTTACGATGTTCAGAAAGACAACTCTCCCGAGCTACCTGCTTTAAACCCTGTAAGAGAATTTCACTTAAAGTGAAGATCTTGGTGTCTTCTACAAATGTATCATAGCATATGAATAGCTGCTTACATCTATTGCCTAATATCTAAGACATTCAATAGATGGTTAGTTTTTCCCACTCTGCTGTATAAAGACTTAACTAAATACAGCATGCTGAAGATTCTGGATTCCTAAATGACGAAAAAAAAAAAAAAAAATCATGCATAAGACCGATCATGCAGCTAAAACAATCATCCAATCAAATCAAGTCTCTATTATGCAATTTATCTGGGAAGGACAGCTGCTAGGAAATTGTGCTGGTTGAGACTACATACTACAAAGAACTCTAATATATTAATTGTTCAGACTTCATGGTGTACCTACTTCGAACTCTTCCTCAAACAGTAAAAGACTAATGGATTCAGCTAATAGCAATTTTGCAAACCATAGAATTCAACGGAAAACTAGACACTATTGGGAACATCCATTGTTCCATGCTACTTAGATTGCCCTACATAGACAACTTCCTGCAAAAGCACTCCAAAGGTGTTACAAAAGGGGCTTAGCAGACAGATCCAGAAGCATTGTTACAAATTTTGTTTCTGGAAAACGAATTGATGGGTTGCTTTGGCTCTGAATGGAGTTGAATGGTGGCAACATTTTCTGACAAGTTAAGTTTTCACTTTTCTTTTCATGGTTACAATGAGTTGATAAAATAAATAATCGATGCATTAGAAGGAAAATCGAGGTAACTGAGGGTGAGAATGAGATGAAGAGACCTGAGGTTGTTTAACCATGTACATTGAAAATCATTAAAGCCATCAATATGATGTATAGAAACTAGAGAATTATCAACTCGAACTAAGAGAAATGAAGACTTAAAACACTCAGCTATTTGTTTAGATTAAATGCTGATATGATCCATATGGACAACTCCAAAGAGTGTAATGCACCGGGAGGATAGGATAGACATCGGTAAGTCTGTTTTGACATCGTGTTACTGAGAAGTTAAATAATACTCCTTTAGACCATAGCTTTTTGACAGAAAGTGATCCAGTGTGAAATCGTATGAGTCGCCAGATAATAGGACAAGAAACCACCACTTGCCAGATATAAGATTTAGTACGCCGAGATGAAAATCGCACACTGTAATAATTGTAGTCTTGGCTCATACCTTTAGTGAGCACCAAATCTCACTTAAAGAGAAGATCGCATGCTTGACTTGTATCAAAAAGTTAAAAATGTCAGAATATATCTTCAATGCACCCGGAGTCAAAATAATATTGACTGGCCAATCCACTCGGTAACCCAAACCTAAGAAATCCAACGAACAGATCCCTGCCAAAAAATGATAAAGTTCTAGCAATTCAAAAGCTAAGCATTTCAAAATACACAGAATAAAGGAAACTTTAGCATTTAACGATATGGACTGAGCTTTGGAAAGAAAATAATATGCAAAATGTGAATCAAAAGAATTGAACATTACTTGTAACATTGGCAGAAGCTGATAGAGGCATCGGAAGATCTCCTTTCACATAGACATATAAGCGGTCCTTGTTAAGATCTCCTTCACACGAAGACCTCTGAATCGACAGCTCCAGAACCCCCTGGATTTCTAAAATTCTCTTTTCCAACTCTGCAACATGCCATTTCTGCTTTGAAAAAAAGAAATGGAATGAGAAAGGAAACATAGAAATGCATATGAAACATTTTCAATGCAGAGATTTGTACATGGTGCCAGAGGGAAAATATAAACAAGTCTGCCCAGTCTGCATGTTCCATAAAATGATAGCGCCGCAGGGTCAATAGATGCTCTTGCATAGAAAAACCCTCTTCTAGTAACTTGAGCGTCAGCTTGCTCACATATTGATATCTAGAAATGTCAAGGAATAAAAGGGATTCAAACAGGTAAATGCAAAGCATTTCTTAAAGCAATTGAAAAGGAGATGGAATGTTAAAATGAGAAAGGCAGTCAGAATGATATAGGCAAGAAACCAAATACTGCTTAGAGTTAAATTAATCAAAATGTCTAGCACACACATTCAGTCCAGATACCATAGACATAAGGATACTGAAGCAAAATTTCCTCCCACAGGCATTTCTTAATAACATAGTCCAATGGCATATCAAAGACAACCATCGAATTTGACCAGCACCCTATGTCAGAAGAGTTGGAATTGCTGTCAAAACAAGCAAGTAGGTGCTCCCACATTTTTCCCCAAGCAGTGTGACCACGCAAGGCCTCTTCCCCTCTGCATGACTTTGAATCTAAGGAAATATAAGTTGGCGATGATATAAACCCCTCCACTGAATTCTCGTCACTGCAGTTTTGCTTAATGTGGTTTGCACTAGCAAAGATGGCAGCATTACTGGCATTGTCTTTCAAGATATAATAGTTAGATTCATGTTGATCTACAGAAGCAGAAGCCAGCTTTTCTTCACAAACCTTGCGAGGATCTCTTACCAATGTGAAATCAAAGGAAGAAAAAGGTTCTCTATAATTTTTTGACTGTTCTTGAGGCTTGTTACTGGAATTTATCCAATAAGCTTTTGATAATAATGGGTTCATGCTAAGAAAATTAGAACCATATTTACCATTGCAAGGCTGCAAGTACCAAGAACTTGACAAAACACTGCCACCAGTTATATCTAATTGATTATTGGTTGTTTCTGGTAAGGCATACGTGGAGAAAATTGTCTCAGTGAAATGTGTCCTGATCTTTGGATCTTCGAAATTCCCAATTTTGTTAAACACTCCTGAAGTAGACATATGGAGCCTCTTACTATTATCAGAGCTCGTATTCAAACTATGAGGTACATGAACAGGTTGCAGGTGCAGATCATATTCATCACTGATAGGTTCACTATCAGCAAGAAATGGTACCCTCTGATCTGCACATTGAGGACTCCAACAACTAGCAAACTCATCTTTTCCTTGGTGATGAACATCCTTGTAAGCGTCCAAGCATTGAGAATAACTTTGTATTTTCTCCCAAATTTCAGATATATTATTCTCTGCAGAGCATGCAATCTCACTTTGTGAAGGATCTTGGACTGCACTCTTAGCAGAGAAAGAAATTACTAAAGATGACAAATAACTTGGTATCAACTGCGAGGTAGTGTTAGGCGACAGTTCAGTATCATTCTGCTCCTGAAAGCTAGCAACAGATGAAGAGTCCGATATTGCCAGCGAGTCCTCTGACTCTGAAAACTCATTCTCACTGCAGCATGCCCCATTAGCTTCATCCTTGTTGGGCCTGAATACCATAGAGACCCACCTTTTAAGACATATTGCACAAGAAACAAATAGACCACTAGAAGAAAGATATGGAAGTATTTATGTGCCAGTGCTACATAGAGTAAGAATGAATAAGTCTTTGAGATTGTTTCAAATCATCTCAGGGAACATTACAATGCACATGAATATAATCCATTTTATGCATGCATAAAGAGAGGTGAAGAAAAACTGACACTGTTCTGCCTCTCTCCCCCATCTCAATGGCACCCTGGCTATCATCCAAATTTGGGTCCGCAAGCTTTGGGTTCCTTCCATGGTTTGATGCATATAAATGCTGAACAGCATATTGTGATGCCTAAAGGAGAAACATGGATGATCATTTTCTAAACAAGGAATACGAATTACACAAGAAAAACCCAAATGCGCAACAAGTTTGTTTGTTTCAAAAATAATGTCAAAGGCAGAGCAAATAGGTGAGAACTGTTATCATAAACATGGCTTCTGCCGATGAGAGTGCATCACCAATGAAAATCCTAAATACAGAATGAAGAAATGAGCCTCCTATTCCTTAGTCGCACCAGGAGATATGAAAACACGGGATCATTGATTTGTTTGTTCATTATACAGTGAACACTTATGTAGATACCCTTCTGACAAATATAGAAGAGAAACAAATACAAATGCTATATTTGTGATGAGAAATAAATACAAGTGTTATGTTTGTGATGAAAAAGAAGTCTACATATAATGTTGCACAACTTGAACACAGTCAGCTGTCTCTCCTATTGATTGAATGGAAATCCACAAACTGGAACTTTGCACTTGAACAGAGGCCAGATCCAAGTTGATGTGTCTTGTGTGAAGATTGGTCAAGCATAACAACCAGAACATCAATTTCAGAATGTCTTGTGACTTGGACTACATGTATGTAAGCGATCTATGGTGGTTGTACATGGAAGTGAATTTGAGGAAGATTCAGCACAGTAGCATATGGTGTGTATGAACTTTTGTGTATCGAACTGTTTACTGGAGAACTCAAACCAGTCCCCTTCCCAAGAAAGTTAATGTGATAATAAATTGTCATTGCTATCTCGCACAGAATAGGGGGGAAAGGCTGAGAGGAAGTATACAGATAACGATTTCAGCTAATTTGATTTTGAATGCGAATAGGGGGAAAAGGCCAAAAGGAAGTATACAGATAACGATTTCAGCTAATTTGATTTTGAATTGGGCATAAATGAGATAAGGAAGTAGACCCAAGGAGACAGTTCCTTGACACAGTTGCGTAAGACCAAAAATGCGAAGGCACAAGCTTTATCCTGAAAGTTCCGTGTTGATTGACCACATCAAATTCTGGAGGTGTCTACATGTCTTCCTAGGACACTAACAATTATTCTTGTACATACTAAACAATGAAGCAAATTAGACTGGATAAATGCTTATCAAGGAGACACTGGGAAAAAGGACAAATTGCTATGCCTTATATTCCTCCTTTACGACTGGTAGCATGCTCCTTATAAAGGGTCAACTAAACCCACAGAAATCAGAGAGGAGGCTGTAAGTGGATGACCTGTCTGAAGGAAATCTATTATGACAATTTCACATATGCCTGATTTTTGGTGTACGCACAGCCATATATTTCTTTTAATGTCCCACAATCCATTTCGTCTTCAACAAAAGAGGTGTTTTTATATTTTTCCAAAATGAATATTCTTACAATATTCTTTTCTAACAGAACAATCATTGTCCCTTGAGTTAGGACTCTGTTACTCTTTTATTGATTGCCCTTTCTAACTCCTTATCCGTGCTCCTGAAAAAATTTCGGAAAAGCAGTGCTATTCATCTTAAAATGTTATCCAATTATAGAACCGCAAGCTTATTATCATTGAAAGAAAGTCTTCAAAATAGTCAGACACAATAATAATAAGAAAATCCTCGAAGCTATTCATAATAATAATATTATAGAAAGTAATGCAAGTCTAGAATAATGGTGTGCATATTCACAAGAGCACCTTATGTGTTCATCCGACAATAAGTCTTTTCTGTTATATTCATCCTTTCGTTTACTGTATTAAATTCAATTACTGCTGCTGGCTTCTATCTTTTCCACCATCGCCGCAGCCGTGATCCTATCCGAGTCCACGGAGACAACCATCACTAATCTGTCATCTGTTCATACTCCACAATCCTCATCTCCTTCTTTTCTGGCTTCTTTCATTTTCTTTCCCACCAGGTGCTTGCTTTTGGGATGTCGTCCAAGCTCCTTTTTACTAAAGATCTCTTTACTTATGCCTTGATTAAACACCAATACTTGTAGTTTGTCATACTCTGGCAACTTCTTAGACATCATCAACATAATTTTCCAAGTATAATTGTCCCACAATGATCACCACTTCCGTCTTTAAGCAATATCTGCTACTCTATCGCCATATGCACCAATGATCAGAGAATAAAGTACATGCACTACCCTTCCAGGAGACTCTCATCTACTGGTCCTAAACTATATATTTCTTCCTGTAGCTTTTTGTCTTGTGGAAACCCTAAAGTCTATTTCAAACCTTATTAGCCAAGCCCATTCGCAATATGAGTTCAGTCATCTCAAGACCAATAATCATTTTTATACCTTTTTCTTGATTATAGGGAATCCATTTTCACACTTTAAAACTTAACTGATACAAGTATGCCGATTAGTTATTCCAGTGAACGGGGTTCCATGGTTCGGGTTTGTTGCACTTATTTAAGCAACCCCTCCATTTGTTGATGTATCTCTTATCTGAAATGTAGGGATAAAATGGAAAGCTTCTTGGTTATCTAAGGACATAAATTGACCCTAGTTTTGGTCATCCTCTAATACTTTCTACACCAGCATATTAGCCAATAGGGACACAAATACCTAGTGGTGTAGTCTTCATCGCCAATATGAGGCATTTGATCAAGTTAGGCCAGCCATTATGTACATATACGAATTCTACCTCCGGCAGAGAGCTATCTCCTCTCTTTAAGAAAAATGGCAAGTCTTGGGTACTTCACAAATACATACTCACAGGGGGCTGAGATAAGCAGAAAATCCATTAACTACTACAGCTCCTTTGTGTGGGTAACCCAAACACTTGGAGAAGCAATTAATAACCAGGGATGGCAAAGAGTAGTGCAGGACTATAAGTATGGTTCAACTCATGGTCAGTACAAAATGCTAAGGTTGATGAACTAACTTACTAAACAAAATTAGCCAATAAAGGAACCACAGAAGTTATATACTCTACAACAAAATTACAGTTAATATCACTGAAAACCCAACTCATCATGAATAGGACGAAGTATATTTGAGCTGTGATACTTCATCAGAGAAATGACCGTAAACAATACAGTTTGTTTTGTGTACAGCCAAATGAATGAGCACATGACAAATATGACTTTGAATAAGACAGGATAAGTCATCCACATGTTAAACAACTGAATGTATGTGTTCCAAATTAAAGGTACCACAACAAAGTGCAGAATGCAGCACATTAAGAAAAACCAATTGCATGGAGCAAGAGAACAAGTACGAATTTCCGATACGCTTACCTGTGGATATCTAAATTGAACTTTAGAAAAAATCTTGTCCACTTTCTCTTGCATCCTTTCATAATATTTGTGTCTTGCAAGAACTATTTGTTCAATAGTTGCTTTGTGAAATGTTAATGGGCAAGCAAGGAATGGATAATCATTTGGAGGATTATCCAAGAAGGGAAGAATCTCCTCTTGAGCTTTATTCCAGCTGCCAAGATTCAAACACAAATCAAGCAACTTCACTAATACTTGGAGTTGCTGACCAATTCTTAGAAGTGGACTCAAAAAATCTTCAAGAAAACATGGCAGAGTAACTCCATCTCGTGCCTGATACAATGATTCAGAGTCAGCAATATAACTGAAGCTCCATGAAAGGAAACCAGGATCTCAAGTCGGTGAATAATAAAATACAGCATTACCTTGATAGTGCTTATCGGTAAGTCCACAGAAATTCCAGCTTTACCTGGTGCACAGTCTGCTAAATGTTCGACATATTCCATTGCAAACTCTTTGTAATGATCAGTCATTCTTCCTTCGTAAATCCATGATCTAACAAATCTGTAATATGGTTCAAATGTTTGAAGAAAGAGAAACTTGAGGAGAGTGATATGAATTGGATCAACAACCTGTGAAAGGAGAAACATTAATCAGACTTTATAATCAAAAATACAAACCATCAAAGTTAAATCAACATAATTGCTGAAACTCAGTCATCACATTTGACCCTATCGAAACGATATGTCGGTCATCAAGGAAGCAACCAAAGTGAACATGTCCAATGGGAGAGCTATCTATTAATCTTAAATGGTTATCATTTCTGAGTATGCAAATGCAAAAGTGTTTGTTCAAGTACTGTTAAGACTTAACGCAAGAAAAGACAGCATGCAAAAAGCACAAGGGCAAAACAGCACACCGACAATTACAATGACTACAGCAACATCAAGGCATTTGATAGAAAATGAAGTTACGAAGTTCCCAACACACTTGCTGACCTTCAGTTGCATATACAGAAATGTCAGTAAATTAGCACCTCGGGGAAATTTAGCAAATTCCAAATTAGCATTCACAACCAGATCTTGTAAAGATTCGCCTGAGAAACTACAAGCCAAATCATATATCTGACATATATTTCCAAGTGCTTCTATCTGAGTTCTCAACCCACTTGTATGCAGATAAACCTCCAACACTGTTACTTCAGAATTGCCAACACTTGTGAGGCAACCGTAATCAGTATTATCCAAGGAACATCTCAAACTTGCTGATGCATATAGTGTATTAAGAGAAGAGATGTAACTATCTAAGATCTTTTTCACGGCAACTGCAAATGCCTGATTAATAACACCAAACTTATCTTCTGCCCATCTTTTGGTTCCTTCATTTGCCTCCTTTGAGATGTTCTCTGATCCTGAATCTTTATTTAGATTCAAATGATTAAAATATTCAACAAAATTCTGGAGCAGGAAAATAACGCAACCAAATTGGCCAATGGATTTGAGTAGATTTCCCAGAGCATGAGTGCTTGTAGACCGAGTCCACAAGCTTGAGATTCGATGAAAAGTTCTGTCTGCTGATTCAGAACAGAACAACACAGAGAATTCATAAACAGAAACCAGAGCTGATTCCACCCCTTGCAAAGCATTCATTACCAACCTCACCAAGCTAGCCTCCTGCAGTCATGTGATGGCAAAACCATTAATAAATAGATGAACAGTAATTTACGAGGATGTACACATGAAAGACATAAATTTCAGCCATGAAAGAAAAATGAGAAGTTGAACAGAAATAAAGGAAAGACTCTTTAAGGTTGGACACTTTTACTTCGGCAAGCACAATAGAGAGAGAGAGAGAGAGGGAGAGAGAGAGAGAGAGAGAAGTACAGGTAGTCACTACATTTCATTGATATCAGATGAGGAAGAAGAAGTCAAATCCAGTCTGCCAGTTACATATGGAATGGAACCCTTACCATTCCCAACATCTCCAGACAAAGAGGAAATAGAACAAAGTAAATGCAAGTAATGACACAACAAGAAGCCTTTCCACTGGGAAATACAAGTAATGACACATTCAGACAAAATAAAACCCCTTTTCTAAATGAACAAATACAAGGAAAAGTTGAACTGCTGCTTTAACTGCACTTGAAGACCCTAATTACCAACAAGAGGTATCAATCCGTAGAATAACCAGATCAAGGATAATTTTTTGACAAACAACAGGATATATACAGGCTAATGAAACTTCCAAATGAAGGGTTGACCATGAAGATTGTGTCAACAGTTTAAGTGTGAGAGATGGACATGTTTTAAGGAGAAAAGACCCAGAAAAAAACAAGCAGGCAACACTTTTCCTAATTTTTTAATATCACCTTCTTTGAAGTAGCTATTTTTCACTAAGAGATATCAAGCAGGATCCAGCAGCAGGCACAATGAAAATGTGCATAGGATTCTGCGCTCAAATTCAATCCTGCAAAATCTCTCAGATAATCCTCGAAAAAAATATTGTTGACAGTTGCCTTTCACCAACTTTTACTTTGAAAAAGGTGTGGTAAGCCCAGAGAGGTCAGATCGCTGCCAATTGCTATGCATACTTCTTGCAACCATTTCCTAAAGCAATAAGAACTTAGCAATTCATGATATTTAAACTTTCCTCTTTCTGTTATTGGTGCATGGCACACTGCCAGCAAAAGCAAGTCATTTCCAGAGGGCAAGAGGATAAATGCTAGGCTATGCCAAACAATCTCTTAGTGTCACTCAACCCACAGGGTTAAGCATTATTAAAAGTGAGTTTCTAGTAAAAATTCTTTTTTGTCCAACAATTTCACAAAGTTGTGTGAGGACAGGACAACGTTGATTTGACCACATTAAATTTCCAATCCACTACTGTTTCAAATAAACAAAGTCCTTATGATTTTCTTGACCACAAAGGTACAAAATTCATCTAGCAGTGTCAATGTCCAACCTGCATCTTCCATAAACTAGATTCGAGTGGTGAAATAAGGATAAAAGGGTCTATACTACTCTCGTGCCAATCTCCATGTCATAAACCACACAACCAATCAGAATTTTCAGAAAACAAGGCTCATCGACCACCTTAACAGAAATAATCAAAATCTAAGTTTATTCCAGCTCTGAGAGCCATTAGTAAGTTAATTTCTGCAGTCATCACCAGCAATATATGAACTTTCCCCAGTTGCACCTAAAATGATGCTACCAAGTTTAACCCTATACACAGTACATAAAATTAGGCCAAAGAGATGAAAAATTATCTCATTTCCCCTCTGTCAAACACCAATAATTATCAACCACAAAAGCAATTCGAAAAAACCAGTCCATTATCAAGCGTTTTTAAGTATCCAACGAGAAACCAGGAGAATTCAGCAAAATGGAATGGCACCAAGATTAGAATGGCCCAATTTCAAATGAGAAATTAAACATCCCACAAAAACCACTACAGAATCGATATCGAAACATGCAACATTGAACTATCCCCAAATGTGACCAAAAAGAAAAAAAAAATCATAATGCACACACATTTTTCACATCCAGCTGCACGCAAATACTTACAGAGAGATTGGAAGTATTGTAGAAGCCAGGTGCGGACGAATGAGGAATTGAAGAACGGCCGCCTCCTTCGGAAGGAACCGATTCCCATGGTTTTGGTGGGACCCAGGGATCATCAACCTTGAGCTTCTCCAGCAATGACGCCACCGTGTTGGCTTCCGCCCCCATTTTCTCCTCCCGGAGGCGCAGAATTCTGATCGAGATACAGTACAACTAGTTCAAATTTGGCAACTTTATCATGCAAATTATAGGGCTTTTTAGGAGGTAATCGAGTAGAAATTTGGAGGGATATAGAGTTGTATTATGATTTAGTAAGAGTAAAGAAACTATTCCGACTTTCTTTTATTTCTCTTTTTTACTTCTTAGCTTCTTCCCTCCATATTCTTTTTAAAAAAGTAAATAAATAAATTTTTAATCTATCTATATATCTTACTATATTAGAAACAAAAACCACGCTTAAAAAAAACACCACCATTTACCATGTGGCATTTTCACATCGTATTTTTAAAATAAATTTTTATTTCCACATTTCCTAGACTTAAAAGGTAAATGCAGTCCAAATCCACCTCCACCTTCTATTTTCGCAAAAAAAAAAAAAAACAGGGGTTCATAAAAAATCCAAATCCCCATCCCCGTCTCTACTAAAAATCCAAATCAATCCATTCCCCACAATAAAAAAAACAACAAATTCCTCATCAATCATCAATTGAGAATATGTGGTGAAATATACTCCATTCCAATTAGCATGTTCAATCTTTTCATTAGTGATGATCAATTACATCCTAATCGGATAAAATTTTGACTTCAAAAAATATTCTCTTTACCTCTCTATATAAACACAAAGGGAAAAAAAAATAATTCTCATTGATCTTGCTTCGGCCGTTGTGGTGGTGCAATTACAGGTATTAAAATTTAAAAGATTTTATTTCAACAGATCATTTGTTTGGCTTTTATTATTTTTTATTTTTCCCATTCAAGAATAGTGTTATTACTATTATTTTTATGCGTCCATCTGTTACAGCTACCATATCCGTTGTCATGTAATATAATGCGATTTCTTATATGGTTAGTTAGCCTAGAATTTTTGTATGATTTTAGTTTTGTTTGGATTGAATTCATTAATTGGGTTTTTGTTACATAATGTGATTTTTTTAATTTCTTTTTTATATTTCATTAATTAGAGTGGTTTTCTTTTTTTAATTATGGAGTCTTGGTTTTTTTTTTTATATGGTCAATTATGAAGTGTATTTTTTTTTTGTTTAATTGCTTTTGATTTTGTTTTATACTCCCAATTGACCAATAATAATAATAATAATAATAATAATAATTATTATTATTATTATTATTATTATTATTTTATTTACAAATGAAGCGCCTTTATTTTTTTTATGTTCGGGATTTCAAGAATATACTTTTTTGGATTTGATTTTTGGACTTTTTTTAGTTCCTCATCATATAAATTGTTCATGTCGCTTCTTCTAATTAATTTATGGGGAAGCCTTTTATGAATTTGAGGCTGAGAGGGAAGGAATGGTGTTTCTACGTTTATTTGTGTTTTTATACAAATAATTTCTCAATTTTTAATGGGCTATCTTTTAATTTCTTTTTTTTTCTTCTTAATTTGGCATAGTGAGGTGAGTTGTTTTTTGCTATAACTTGAAACCTATGCAAATTTACATTATTTTCATTCTCATATTTGTGATCAACCAGTTTCAACAATTAACCAGTTTCAAAATCATATTTTTGATATTTTACTAGTTATAAACTTTTGGAAGAAATAGTTCCAACAATTAAGCGTATACCCTTGGGAGGAAGTTTATTACAAAGTTATTATAAATCTCCAAAACTAAGTATTGATTTGGTACAACCAATGGAGAACATCAATAAATTATCTTACTAATATTTAAACTTATTGCCATGCTTTCATATTTTCTCTAGCATTTACTTCAAGACATATATTTGATCGAGTTTATTTATATTTAAAAAGTAACACTTATAAAACATTTCTAAAATCTTCAAACATTTCTAAAATGTACCGAACCAAACACAATTTCTTTTTATGCCAAATACAAGCATTTCTATGATCACACTTATAAAACATTTCTAAATTCTTCAAAAATTTCTAAAATATATCGGGCCAAATATAAAATACTTTTTTCAGATACAAACATTTCTAAGATCTACACATATATTGGGCCAGGGTCGCGCATTGCGCGACAAGACATCACTAGTCTATATATATATATATATATATATATATAAGAGTTTTCAATCGGGCACATGACCTAAATTTGGATAGGATAAACCACGCGCCGAAAAATTAAATATCCAAGTCCATATACCGCAACCACATCACTCCATCATTTAAAAATCTACACATGTAGATCCCACTTAAATGTGGTTTTTTTTATAAAAAAAAAATCCATCTCAGTGGACCCACTTAAATGTAGGTAAAACTCCCTATTACAACCACGGGTAGGAATCGAATACTGATATCACCAGGAAAAATAGCAACCTAACCACTAGATTGTCATTCAATTCTAAAACTATGCCCCTAACAAAATCAAAACTTAGAAAAAAATAATAATATTACTTGGCCCAAAACCAATCACACTAGAATGATTAAGACCGTCAATTTGTTATCCCCAACTTTTAATATTTCCGAAAATTTTTATATTATAATACGTAAATCCATAAATATTAATAATTCCCTTTATAAGATTATTAAGGGAGATAATAACAATATATAATTAAAAAACAAATCAAAGTAACTAATTTGGGTCGAAATCATGAGCTAAAAAGTCATCTCTGTGGTAGTCATCAGAACCATACGCTACATCATTTGAAAGACCTCCATTGTCTGGATTTCCTCCACCCCCACCACCATTGTTGTCCCCATTGTCATTATTGTCGTCGTCATCATCTCCTTGGGACGTCCATGGATGCGAAGCCACAGGTTCATCCTCATCAATCTCAGTGAATTGTAAGCCATCCTGTATAGCATGATCCGAGACATTTTCATTGAAGTGAAGTATATGCAAGTAATTATCCTCTCTAATTCTAGTGAAATTGCTTTTCTTGTGAGCATGTGCTCTCATGGTAGTAGTAAACATCGGCTTGTTGGCATCTATCAAAAGGGGGGAATTGTTTTTCACCATCTTCTTCATAAAATAGGTGTTCAGAAATTGATTCAGCTTTGCTTCATCTGACATATGGCATCTCTACATCGGATGACCCAGTCTACCACACCTCTTAGAGAACTTATGAACATTCTCATTCTTGCAGCTAATCTTTCCCAGTTTTCCGTTTCTTTTCGTGAAATGAAAACTCGATGTGAGAGGATTACCTGGTTCCACCCATACTTTGGCTCGGATGTAAGTGGCCTTCTTAGAGAAACACAATCCTCCTTGAGGACAGCAACCTCTCCTACCCTCTGAGCTAGATCGCTGCCCCCCTCCCCCCAGTAGTTAAGGGAGGTGATTGGAACACCATGCATGCGGATCCAAAGGCTGAGTTTGGTAATTCGAATACTATCGAGGCTCAGATCTTTATTATCATAGCATTGCAAAGCACCAACAGACCTCTATTGACTGAGTATGGTCCATTATCCAACATTGTTAGCAAATCTGCTCTGGAAGCAAACTTAATGATAAAGAAATCAATGTGCATCACCCAAGTATACATTGGCCAGTTGTCTGTGAGATACGCCTGCATCTGAGTATCTGAAACTTCTCTATCATCTAGAAGATAGTTAAGAAGGGACAGTTTGAGATTTTCCCTTGAAAAACAAGTATTGCTATCATTGAGCGGGACATTCTCCAGTCAGAGATATGGGGTATTGACGGGTTTGTCGTGACCTGTAAAAATTAATCTGATTTTCTAACAAATCAAAATTAATTTGTAGAAACAATGGAATCAGGTCGAATCTTAAGAGAGCCGACTTTTAACACTTGGCTTTATAATGCAAACTGGGGGATTTTTCTTTCTTTAAAATAAAATGACAATTTGAAGTAAATAAAAATGGAGAGAAAATTAATAATACAAAAGTTTTGGTTCAAGGAATGATTCAAATATATTATAGATCATCGACTAAAAAAATTATTTTTTTACGACTCAAGCATTCAACCATAGGCTTAATAGGATAGCCATAAAAAGCCTTATATTTTCCAAAAATATTTGACCAAACACAACACCTAATCAAAACTTAGTATAATTTAACTGGGCACAATAGCGTTCCATATTAAATAATACTAGCAATAAAAACTTTGGAAATTTAGTTGAACCAAAAACTAAAATAATTAAAATCGCTGCAATTAAAATTTTTTGTCCTATTGACCCCCTAGTTAGACTAATCATGCACATTCAACGTGCCACTATCAACATGCATGATCTGCTAATTTGTTATTTAGTGTCAAATGTTTAAGACGACAGCGCAACATAAACAATTTGGTAGCAGTAGGAAGAAAACACTTGATTAAATTGTCAGATTAATTAAGTATTTACTCTCATAAAAAGAAATCAAGATCAATAAATACTTAAAGTCAAAAAGTAGAAAAGAATAAAGTGAAACTTGTAGCCTCACATACAATATAAATGAATTTAAAAATCCTTGAATCAAAATAAGAAAACTAGCCACTTATGATTACTAGAAACATTTTTAAGTTTTAAAAGAAAATGAAAAGAAAAATAAAACACAGCTAAAAAGCCTTAAAGAAAACTAATGAAAATGAAGAGTGGGAGTAGCGCTTGATAAGCTACGGGGAGGGGTGCAATTTTTCATTTGATTGAGGTGTTCTATTTATAGTTCTTACTCTCTAACTTAATTTTGGAAAAAAGTAGGAACTAAATATTCTTTTCTAATCTCTAGTAACTTCCTCATAGCATTAGTTTCACACGATTATTCCAAATCCAACAATTCAACCGAGTAGTCAAAGATTTGATTTAATTGTCTTGAATTGACTTGGTAAAAATAAAATCTTCAAAACAAATTTTCTACAGCTTCTTCTCAATTTGATTTTCCTTAGCTTCCAATTCCGTAAATCAAGCTGTAAAAATGCTAAAACAATCTATCTTTCACTGTTTCACTTTCTAGCACAAAATAATAATTAAATTCATCAATAACCTCCAAAATATATAAAAAAAAATTAGGACTCCAAGGTTACAATAAAATAACTTTTATTATAACTAACATGTATTCATTAGTTGTGGATGCACCCCTGACCTCAAATTAAAATCATACTCCTCCTCCAAGAACTCTGACCCTTGAATCGACATGGTCGTAACCGAATCATCATCCATTGCATGGCGATGATTCATGTTGATCTGGACAGTATTGTAGTAGAAGGTTGAAGGGGTGACAATAATAGAGTGTTTGAGATGGGTAGTTAATAGATCTGAAAGGGACAAAGGGGAATTTTTAGACAGGGGAATAACATAGGAATATTAAAGTTTTTTTGTTGGGGGGTAAACTTGAGGAGATTAAAGCCTTTTCCAGTTCCGCTTTCAATGCGGCTGCTAAGAAATCGTACAGTTGGACTAAAGAGGACTAGAATCCATTATAATAGTGGCTCAAGGATCTTGGAATCCACATTAATATCTGGAGACAACAAAAGAACAAAATCAAAGCATAAACGAAGCTGAAAGGCTGATTTGGAACGTTTATTGTGCAAAGGTTAGCTAAATGGGCATATCAGATTTGGATGGAAGATCTGGGGGTTTTAAACTTCATAAAAAATTAAATAATTGGGGTGTTTCTTTTGCATGTATTCCAAACGGCAAAAAGGCGGAGATTTTTTGCCAAATAATGCAAAATCATGATTAGATATGGCTACGTGCATAAAGCAGTGGTATTGAGGTGGTTTTGATAAAACCAGGGATGAGAACCAAATTTTTGGAAGAGGTAGTGGTGGTGTGAAAGGCCTTTCTCACATTGGAGAAAAAGAGGATTTTCTCTCTTTTGGGTTTTAAAAAGAGAAGGGTTTCCACTTAGAGCAATGAGTTCAACAAAGACTAACTAAGTCCTAGCAAACAATTACTAACTTCTTAAACGCCCTAAGTCTCATCTCATAGATGTGAGATAGGCAGATGTAGCAAACTATACGTCTACGTAACTCAATGTTTTTCGGTCATAAAAGGACATCATAAAAGTTTTGTGTCTGTGAAACAAACCCTTCAAACCCTACTTTCTTAAGTAATAAAATAAAATCTATATACCTTGGCATAAAAACATGACTATGCAAATTTTTTCCCCTTTTAATAATATTATTCAACCTTTTGCTCTAACATTATCCATTTCTAGTAATTCTAACCATATTGTATTTAGTTGTATGTACCTTTATTCATTAATTTTAGTAGGTTTGTTTTTTTATTTAATCATTTACTTTCATTAGCTCTACTCCTTTTAGTTTATATATTTTTTTTTTATCATAAATATAATAGTGGCATGTCTTTTTATTGTCTTAATAATATTACCAAATATTTCTTTCATTAAGTTCTCCCTATATAAATTGCAACATCAAATTATTACCTTTTCTGTCCGGTCAAAATTTTTCATATCAAATAAGGTATGAAGTTTGAATTTTTAATTTTATCCAATTAATGTACAATCATTATAAAATTTAAAGTACCACTAACAGCTCAAATCCTTTTTAAAACGGAGACCATCTGTGCCATTCACCATTCTGTTCCTCCTGTCACCACCATATATGGTCATTTTTTTTTGTTTTTTGTTTTTTTTGGTGCAATGAAGGAGGCAATTGCCTTAACTCTAGACTATTATAGCACGTTGGTATGAGACACTAATAACATCATATTTTAACCAGAGTCTTATAGTAGGCAGAGATTCGTCTAAACACAATAATCCACCAAGGCTACTCATCACTAAAGTTGCTAGTGAATGTACTGCAAAATTTAGCTCCATGTACATATGTTTTAACTCAACTGACCATTCACTCTTCATAAAGTCAAGTATAGCCAACATTAATCCACGATGTCATCAAAGTGGTGGATGGTCAAATTTCAGTTGAACACTTGGCGTAACTTATCTATATATATTATTATCCTATTACAGGAAAAACTAAAAGAATCCTAAATGCTGACATGTCAAGCTCTCCTACACTTAAATCCCGCCTAAAACCAAATTTACAGAAGTAATTAGTAAATTTTATAAATTCCTCCAGTAATCCAGATTAATTAATTGGCTGGTTACACTAATCAAATAACCATATCCACGATCTCGGTCAATTTATCCACGATCTCATCCAAGTTATCATACTCGATCCCAAACTCAAAATCTCCTAGAACAAACAACCTACAAATTCCACCCAATTCAAGTCTCTTGAATTTTTGCCATAAATATTTCTTTAGCTTTCTCTTTTCAACGATGGCAAAATCACTTGAAATCTCCAAAAATTATCTGCCTCTGGTTGAATCCGAAAAAAGAATTGGAATCCGAGGAAGAAGATGGTGTGACATCCGAATCTTGATCAGAAGATGTCGTGGCCGGCAAGATGAAGTCGTCGTCGGAAGACGAGGATTCCGGATCCGAGAAAGAACCTGCCCACCGAGGATATTGTTTCTTGGGTAAGTTATGGTAATAGTCCTTCATTCGGATATTCTTTTCTTGAAGAGTTTTAAAAATGTGACAGAAGAGTCCTTTAAATCGAAAGCCTTCGTATAGCATTAATCTGGTTTCTCTATTTGTTTAATTAGCAAATCAAATGTATTGAATTGGTTTTTGGTTCAATCACGTTGTATCATATAAGTTGGGTTCAATTATTTTCCTATTTCTTAGATATGTCTCTTAGTTTTTTATTCACTACTTGGATATTACTACCATATTATCCTATTATAGGAAAAACCAAAAGAATCCTAAATGCTGACATGTCAAGCTCTCCTACACTTAAATCCCGCCTAAAACCAAATTTACAGAAGTAATTAGTAAATTTTATAAATTCCTCCAGTAATCCAGATTAATTAATTGGCTGGTTACACTAATCAAATAACCATATCCACGATCTCAGCCAATTTATCCACGATCTCATCCAAGTTATCATACTCGATCCCAAACTCAAAATCTCCTAGAACAAACAACCTACAAATTCCACCCAACTCAAGTCTCTTGAATTTTTGCCATAAATATTTCTTTAGCTTTCTCTTCTTTTCAACGATGGCAAATCATTTGAAATCTCCAAAAATGATCTGCCTCCGGTTGAATCCGAAAAAAGAATTGGAATCCGAGGAAGAAGATGGTGTGACATCCGAATCTGGATCGGAAGATGCTGTGGCCAGCAAGATGAAGTCTTCGTCGGAAGACGAGGATTCCAGATCCGAGAAAGAATCTGCCACCGAGGATATTGTTTCTAGGGTAAGTTATGATAATAGTACTTCATTCGGATGTTCTTTTCTTGTAGAGTTTTAAAAATGTGACAGAAGAGTCATTTAAGTCGAAAGCTTTCGGATAGCATTAATCTGGTTCTCTATTTGTTTAATTAGCAAATCAAATGTACTGAATCGGTTTTTGGTTCAATCACGTTGTATCATTTAAGTTGGGTTCAATTAGTTTTGCTATTTCTTAGATATGTCTCCCAGTTTTTTATTCACTACTTGGATATTACTAGCATATATATTCAATTGCATTTTTTTCCATGATATTAAATGGCCAACAAAGAGAAAGGGGAGAAAGAAAATGAATAAAATCTTTTGACACTTTGAAGGGAAAAAAAAACTTATGAAAGTGGTTTTTATTGAAGCATATGAGTGCCTTTTTATATTCCAGGGCTTTTCACTAGGGTTTACTTCCTTACCATGGAATTCTTATCAAAATAGTTAAAGATTATGGGTTGTGATCTGAGAGCTGTTTCCATGATATTTCATCATTGTATGGCTTCGAGTTTCTGATGAATCCATGTATTAGATTGACTGTTTAAATCTCTAATAACTCTGAATCTTCAATTTCCTAAATTTTTTAATTTTTTTTTCCGGTTGCATGGTTTATTTATTTATAGTCTCCTCCCAAAAACTTTTTTCAGGACGTTCATAGCCCATCTAATGAACTAAATCTGGATCCAGACCAGTACATTGTAAAGCCTATTGCTTCAAAACCCTTGGCGGATTCCGGATTACTTCTCCGATGTCGAGGACTACTACAGGTGCCAATGCTAAGAGGGTAGTTGTAGAGCCGAATTTTCAACACATTCAAAGAAGGCAAAGACAAAGACCGCTGAGAAAATTGCTAATGTCGCCGAGTACAAGAAACTATTTGAAAGAATATTTAGCGAGGATGATGAGATCTTATATTGGAGGGTATTGCTGACTTTTTTGCCAAGTCAAAAGCTAATCCTTTCAACAAATCACTGAATTTCATGATTATATTAATAAAAAGATTGGTGGTTGCTGTTATGTGAAAAAACTAGGTGCTTGTTTGTTTGTTCACTCATTTTATATTTCAACTCATTTTACCTCTAAAACACAAAACCCAATGGAAAAGAAAACATCATCTAAACAACTTTCTGATTTACATTTTAAAATCCAACTTGAAACACTTTTTGTTAGTGTAGTGACCATTTTTTGGAACTAAAAATAGTTCAGCGACTAAATCCAAAATTTTGCACATTTATTTCAATTTGCTTCTAGTAAAAAAACACTTTCTACAGTTGATGGTGGTTAGGAAAAAGTTTTTTTGGAATATGTATTGAAATATCAAGTCAAAAAATATCACTAAACAATCGAAAAGTGTCAATTTTGGTCACTGTAAAAAAAGAATTTAAAAAAGTTATTACTAAATAACGGATATGTGTCGATTTTGGTCACTGTAAAATATTAATTTTAGAAGCTATCGTGATTTTAGTGATCATTTTACAGTTGTTTAGTGATCATTTTTGAAATTCTTTTTTACATTGACTAAAATGGGATTTCCGTTGTTGAGTGATTGTTTTGAAAAAGTTCAACTTTGTAATGACTAAAATGAGATTTCCATTGTTGAGTGATTGTTTTTGGAAAAATTCTTTTTTGCAGTGACTATAATTGATAGTATTTAATTTTTAGTGATGACTCTTGCTTGATATTTCAAAATGTAGTTCAAAATATTTTTTTCAAAACCAACATCCAAACAACTTTTTGCTCAAAATACCATCCAAACAACATTTTCATTTCTCATTTAGTTTTCAACTTGAAACACTTTCCACTTTTAAGTGGCAAAATGAAATATAAGATGACGTCCAAACAAGCACGACATTTTACACTAGATTGGTTCCCACGTAGAGATGTTCGATCCCAATAAGGTCTACCCATGAGGAAAACATTGAAGGTAAACAAAAAGAGGCTGCCCTTTCTGAGCATTGGATTATATTCAAGGAGCTATATATTAATGATCTACTTTGGTTCATTTTTAATCGGCAAAAGATTGATATAAATATATTGGATCATTTTTGCGGGTTAAAGTTTACTTGTGAGAAAGCTAGCATTTGGACTTCCATCGCACTCATTTCAACAATTGTCAAGGTATAAACATATGATCAACTTGCAAGTTCATCAATTAGATAAACTTTAAGCTACATATTCTATGCTGCATGGAAATGTTCAATCTAAGTGGGAATCTGTACCCCCATTCGTAATGAAACCAATGTTTTTCTTTTTCAGGTGGGAATTGCTGGGGTTGCTGCTGATTCAATGGTTACGAGGACAACAATCATAGATGATAACTGGATTCCAACTTGGGATCACGAATGCAAGTTCCCATTGATAGTTTCACAACTAGCATTGCTTCGAAGCGAGGTTCACGAGTATGATATGTCAAAGAAGGATGATTCTTGAGGCCAAACATGTCTTCCTATGTGGGTTCTTCGAAAGGGAATCTGGGCAATACCTCTTTATAAGGAGAAAGGAGAAAAGTACAAATCCATCAAGATGCTCATACGTTTTGATTTTGTTTGATAAATCTTTGTGATGCTTTTGTACAAAGTTTTGTTTTTTTGAAACCTAGTGATGAGCTGAATAAGAGGACTTAAACCTTATAGGGGCAGGCTTTATCCCTCAGAGCATATTGTATATCTCTTTTGCTCAATCATAAATGTCGGTTTGGATGTTCCAATGATAGCTTATACTCTCTTTGTCCCAGAACAATTGTTCAATTTAGATTTTCGCTTTTAGTATAATTTGAACTAAAAATAAAAATCTAAACTAGACAATAATTTCGAGACAGAGGGAGCAGTTGTCCTATGCAATGTATACAAAATTGATTCCCTATTACAAAAAAGAAGTGAGGCTCATTAAAGCTTTGAGATTGAATCTTCATATGGAGCCAAAAATGACATGGTTGTTTTTTAAGGGTTCATAAAAACGAATCATCAATTGTCACATCCTTTTCTGTCTCGGCATGTGGTACATTTTTTCTTCAATTACGCGCCCTTTCTTTGCTCAAACTCAGTTTAGCCTCTCTTTTTTTTTTAAGTAACGTAGCGGTTCACTTTAACAATCTATAACCCCATTAGTAAGTTTTCTCTCTTAGTTGTTGTTTTTAAAATTTTATAATTACTATGGCTACTAACGTTTCTAATTAAACACGTAAAAAATTTCTAATACATATATGAAGAATAGACTTGTAGTCGTGATTCGTGAATAATTGTTAAGAAATAATTATTTAAAATATTTATTCAGATAAAAACAAAATATATTACGACGATACATACCTGTTCGAATGCACGAGTCTAAAACCTAATAATATTTTATTAAAAAAATAAATGTGATAATTTTATGGTCAATGTCTATCGTTATAATCAAATTTTAGTTGCCAAGTTCGTGTTTTTGTTTGTTTTGTTTTTTTTTTTATTACAAAAATCAAATTTAAGGATTCAATAATCAACAATTTATGCACCGCTGTCAATTACCTAGAAAAAAATTTATAATTGACTACTACTAGCTAATAGAAATCCGGTTGGTCCACCGGGACAGGCGAACTGCCTAAGAATCGCTTATGTCACAACAAAATACAACTACCAAAAAGGAAAACAGGCAAGGCGATAATCATTGTGACATTCGTATTGACAGAGCAAATTGTAGAAGAATGTACGATAGAGCATATAAATAGACCGAGTAGAAAAGGCAACAGCTTAGCAAGCAAAATAGGATTACAATGAGTGGAAGAGATCTAGGATCCTTCTCCCTTTCTATGCTATTTCTACAATGATTTGAATCCATGTGTTATATAGTGTGTTCGATCAGAGGATTATTTATCCCTTAATTTCTGTTGATGTTCTTAAGGAAGTCCCTCCAGTGATTAACAAGCTCTCTTTTTAGTAAAATGTTTAAATTCCTGGCCATTAAAAGCTAAAGTCTAAGTGTCACCTATGCCAACTAGGTATCTACCAATCCTAGTTAAAACCTTATAATGTTACCTCTAAGTCATAAGCTAGTTTTATCATTCTAAATCATGCCTACCTATGCAAGCACAATTGTCTAGATGATCATGCTATACACAAGGTTAATTCTTTTTTTAAAAAAATAAAAAATATAAAAAAGCTTAGAATGGCATTCAGGTCCCAACTAGCTTAAAAAAACTCAAGGGGCCTACCCAAGAGGTAAATTTTTGAACTAGCCAGTGTCATATAGTATAATGCATCCAAGAAGTCTACCCAAGGGATGAACATATATACTATATAGTTCCCTAACCCCATCCCTCCCTATATAAATTTATTCCAATTAAAAAAGGAAGATAGCAAGGGAAGAGTATAGTCGTACCCTTACTAATTACAATGAACCTCTACTTTAGCCTTACCCGAAGGTAAGGAAAAGATTTTTGATCTAGAAGTACAAGACCCCTAACATGTCTAGGCATTCTTATCATACTATTATACATCTCAAAAAGGCCAAGTGAAGCTTGTCCAGCTAATCCATCGGCTACGGAGTTAGCCTCTCTATATATGTATGACAATAAATAAGACCACCTAGACAGTATTGATTGAATTTCCTTAATTTGAGTCTTATGACGCCATGGAGCTGACCTTGAAGAGCCAAGCAAATCAACGAAAATCTTGCTATCAGTCTGTACATGAACCTTCTCAATCCCTAGTTGCTCGCATTTCGTTAAGCCAAATAAAAGGCCAGAGACCTCCATACCAAAATTGTCACCGCCACCAAGGTACCCCGATTCTGCATATACAAACGGACCATCATGTTTTCTAATGATAAAGCCATATCCCGACTCCGCATTAACCATAGATCCATCCGAATTTAGCAATACCCTTCCCTGTGAGAGGAACTCCACCTTACTACCATACATGTGTGCTCCTGGATTCTTTGAACCTTGATGCCAAAAACTTGCTCACAAAGTCCCTTTCCTTCAAATCTCGCACCTTCAAGTCATGAATTGCCAAAATGTCCCTTTTACCTCATTCAATCTCAGAATAACAGCTCTTGAGTCAAAAAATGCCCCATCAAAAGAAACTCGATTCCTTAACTTCCAAACCTCCCAAAGGATGAAAGAAGGAATGATATTAATCAATGACTTTTCTACTGTTGAAAAACAACCCCTATTCCACCATTGAAGCAAGACTCCCAACAAAGTCGTCTCATTCTCAATATTAATCTGAAAAATATTAGCAAAATGTCTCCATATGCGAATCACTTCCGGACATCCAAGAAAACAATGAAAAATACCATCTTCATGCTCCTTACAAAATAATCAAATGGAAGGCCTAATCTGGATTCCGAATAGACACAAAACCTCCAGAAAAGGCAACAAATAAATTCTTTAGCTTCCAAACAAAAAAAGAAACCTTTAGGGTAATCAACTTGTGCCAAAATTTCCTTGCCAAAGGATCCGCATTACCCCTTCTTCTCAATCTCATATATGCGGACTTTACAGATAATTGACCAGATGGATTATCTTGCCAAACCAGCCAGTCTTGACCTTCTTCAAACTGAATATTCCAGTGTGCCAAGGTCTGCGCCAAATTTGGTTTCAAAACCACCTGAAATTCAGACAAAAAAACTCCCTTGTTTGAGAAAAATTTCTGAATTGTCAAATTGGCCATAGGCGGTTGCATATCATAAGTTTCCCAAATAACACCACCCGGCGCCCAATTATCAAACCAAAAAGATTTATCACCCCCCGGGATCCGAACTTTTGTGAGCTTTCTAGCATCATGATCAATCTTATAGTGCTTGTTTGGATGTCAACTTACACTTTATTTTGCCACTTAAAAGTGAAAAGTGTTTCAAATTGAAAACTAAATGGGAAATAAAAATGTTGTTTGGATGATGGTTTTGAAAAAAAGTATTTTGAACTACATTTTGAAATATCAAGTACAAGTCATCACTAAACAATTAAATACTGTCAATTATAGTCACTGCAAAAAAGAACTTTCCACAAATAATCACTCAACAACGGAATCCTGCCAAATTTGTCACTGAACTATTTGTAGTTCTAAAATGGTCATTACACTAACAAAAAGTGTTTCAAGTTGGAATTTAAAATGTAAATCAGAAAGTTGTTTGGATGATGTTTTTTTTTCCATTGGGTTTTGTGTTTAAGAGGTAAAATGAGTGAAAATGTAAAATAGAAGATTGTCCAAACAAGGTAATTCTACTCCAGGTTGTCCGCTTTCTCGCAGCCTCAGAGAGAGACAACACAAATTTACTCCATAATCCATGCTCCGTTTGAACCTTCCACCATAGCTTATAAGAGAAAGCTTGCACCACCTCTTGAAAACAAGGAATACCCAAACCATTTTCGTCAGTTGAAAATGTCAAGCGATCCCAAGCACGCCAATGTCTCCACCTTTCCTCCGTGGATCCTTGCCAAAGAAAACTCTGACATCTTCTTTCCATTTGCTTTAGAATTGAGACCGGAGGACAAATAGCTGAAAAAACATGTATAGGAATAGCCGAGAGGATATGTCGAAGTAAAACAAGTGTTCCTCCTGGACTAAGAAACTTATTTTTCCAGCTCAATAACCTCGCATCCAAGGAATCAAGCAAGAATTGAAAGGTTGAAGTATTTTTCCTTCCATAGAATAACTTACGTCCCATGAACATAAATGGAAAAGACCCCTTTTGCATTCCCAAACCATTTGTGATTATCTCAATTGCCCGCGTGCGACATGACTCAGCCACAAGAAAAAAACTTTTCTGTCTATTCATTTTTTGACCCGATGCTGCTTCATAGTCCTCAAAAAAGATTGTAAGCTCCTCAATTGATTTCTTTACTCCCCTTGTGAAAATTATAAGATCGTCTGCAAAACTTTAGTGAGAAATTCTCAGCGATCCTGCTAGTGTACCATATCCGGCTATCTTCCCAACATTGGCTAAATGCTTCAGTCTTCTTGTCATAGCCTCAGCCACCAAAATGAAAAGATAAGAAGAAAGCGGATCACCCTGCTTGATACCACGAGACGATTGGAAAAACCCAGTTGGAGAACCATTAACCATGACTAAAAACCAGGCCCTTCACAAATTATTCATTATTAACAAAATGAACCTCGCTGGAAACCCTAATTTGACAAGTATTTTCTCCAAAAAACTCCAAGACACTCTATCAAAAACTTTCATCATGTCCACTTTAATTATTACATTATTTCCAACCGCATTATGTGTAATAAACTGACAAAGATCTTGTGCCAAGACAACATTGTCAATTATATCACGGCCCTCAAGAACGGCTGATTCTCTTCCGAGATGATCTTTGGCAAAACCTTCTTTAGACATTCTGTCAAAATCCTCGTAAACACCTTGTTGACGAAATTACAAAGACTGATTGGCCTGAAATCAGAAACTGTAACAAACGAAGATTTTTTTGGAATTAAAGTGATCACCGTACTTGCAATGGCTCTTGGAATCAGAACCCCTCTGATGAATTCTTTACATACTTCCATCAAATCATTTGCTACAACATCCCAACAAGACCTATAAAATGAGTCACCAAAACCATCCATACCTGGGGAGCTTCCTTCATCAAGTCCAAAAACAGGATCACGCAGCTCAGCCATGGTGATCTCTTCAGTTAGAATTCCTCTTTCAGCATCATCGAGCTCATCCTAAAAATATTGCAAAAAAGTCTCTTGCACTGCTACGTGATTAGGAGGTATCTCATCATCATTTAACAAGGTTTGAAAGAAGGAAACAGCTTCCTTTTTGATATCACTTAATTCCGTTAAGCATCGACCATCAATAATGTTGATTTTCTGGATGCCTAATTTTGTTTTTCTCTCCACCAAAGAAGCATGAAAGAAAGTAGAATTTGTTTCCCCCTCTTTTAACCACTTTGGTCACATCTTTTGTTTCCAAAAATTCTCATGCTCTTTAAGCTTCTGTAACAAGAAAGCATTGGCTTCAGCGAGATTAATTTTGTCCGCAACTTCGCCGGATGGATAATAAGCAATTTCCTATTCCCGCACTTTTTCTTCTGCAACCCGTAAGTTATGGAAACGTTACCAAACACCAGCTTATTCCATTCCTTCAACTCCATTTTCAACCTTTTGACCTTCATTGAAAAAGCCAACATACCAAAACCTTGGACCGGTTGAGACCAACTTTCACTTACAACATCCTTGAAATCTAATCGTCTAAGCCACATTTGCTGAAATCAGAATAATCTTGGCTTGCTTTCCACGTGATCATCAAACTGAAGCAACAAGGGACAGTGATCAGAGGTTGTCCGACTGAGATACTCTATTGAATTCTTGGCGAACATGTCCAACCATTCCACCGAAAAGTGGATTCTATCCAATCTCTTGCTCACCCAACTAGTATGTCTAGTTCCTCCCCAAGTAAACTCATCTCCCAATGAGGCCTTCTCTATCAATCCAGTTACATCAAGTGATTGATTAAACTCTTCAATAGCACCATAGTCTTGAACGGAGGAACCCGAGTGTTCATTCAGTGAGCGAATAACATTGAAGTTGCCTCCCACTATCCAAGGAGACTCTGGATACGACTCTTTGAAAGTTTCTAAGCTGGTCCAAAGAGCTCTCTGATCAATCTTATTAGATTTAGCATAAAAAGATGATAATAGAAAAGTCTTTTGAAGCGGAAGGAAGCCCACTTCCATGTGCAAAACTTGTTCAGCATCATACAGTACATCAACAGTGAAAAGATTACTACACATAACCCAAATCTTACTTGTGGAAGACGAAAAGGCCATATCAAACCTCAACTCCTTCCTTATTTCCTCCAGATTATGAACCGATAGCATTGGCTCAAGGATCACAACTAATCCAACTCTATATCTTTGGACAAGAGTTCTCAATCGACGCCGTGATGCTTGCTTTTTTATTCCCCTAATATTCCAAAAAATAAAGCTAATCATTGGAAACATTAATGAAAATTTGGAACTATTGAAGTTGAAGGGACCGCCATAATTCAGCCTCTTCCAGCTCCTTCAATCTCACTTCCTTGGATTTCCGGCCCCGTTTCTTTTTAATGATACGCTCCCCTTATTCATTCTCAGTTAAGGAAGCATCATCCTTATCCCCTTCAGACCATCTTCCACCTGCGTCAATTTCCTCATTTTCATTTTGAGTCTGAAGTTCGAAAGAGTCATCCGGGAATCTCCCTGCTATCGATTGCACTGTACTTTGTTGGATCTGCTCAACTAGAACAATAACATTATCATTGTTATCTCCTCCGTAAACACGTTCTCCACTTTGTCTTCTTTCTCCACTGATAATTCATCCTCTCCTTCATCCAAGTCTTGAAGCACCGAGAACTTATTCTCTGTTTTCGGGAGATTTGGGGTTTATGACTGGTTGAGACTCGACATCAATCCTGTCCGGAGACGGCTGAAGATCCACCAAAATTAGCTCTTTCTCCTTCATCGACAAGCCAGAGGTTGATTCAACCCGTCGCTGCTCTAGGGTTTCCACAGCTGGAGTCACCATCGTGTGCGCCTCTAGGGTTTCTAGGGTTTTCGCTGACCACGACAGATGAACAAGCGACTTATCCCCTTCCGTTTCAATCCCCTTAGCAATCAAAGGATCCAATTGCAGAATCTCCACCTCCAAACCAGGCTTCTTATTCTGCTCTTTGAAAGTCACTTTTGGTTTCAACTGAGCTAGAATTATCCCCTTTTTCTTTGCAACCGAGGGTTCAACTTTGTTATTCTGCGGAAGTGGCTTGCCCATTCGACAATCAAAATCCTTATGCCCAATCTTACTACATTTAACGCAATATGATGGGACATGCTCAAAGGTAAAAATTTGTTCATGCTTATGACCCTTCTTGCCAATCCTAGCCGATTTTAGTAAATCTCTAGTTAGGTCGACTTCAACGCAAAAACGTGCGACAGAGGGGCATGTCATGTTCAAAGTGGGCGTATCAACCTTCAATGGCTGGCCCAAAGCTGTAGCCATCGAATAGATTACCTCCGAATGCATAAATTCAATGGGCAAATCATAGAGAGAAACCCAAATAGGCACTACCGGCGGATCTTCTTCAAATCGGAAACCCGGAGTCCACTTCAAGATCCTCATTGGGAATTCTCAAATATTCCAGAAGGACCTCATCCAACAGCGCTGATAATCATCCTCTTGCTCAAATCGGATCAATACGTGTCTAGGATTCATTAGCCCTAGAGTGTAGCCACCATTGAAACCGATTTTCTTGAATTCCTAGTGCACTTCCTCCATTTTTGGCCTCCCGTATGAGAATTTTCCAACCAAACTCAAACGATGTGGAGCTACCAATTTCTCAAATTCATCATCTTCAAATTCCAAAGTAGGAGTACCATTGACAAACTTGATTTGCTTTATTAACGAATCCTTGTTTGAGGAGACGTCTTGTGGTTTTTTAAAGAAACTTGCAAAAGATCTCGGCGGTTCACTTGGAGCCACTGGTGTTGGAGATCCGACCATGGTGGCCGATTCCCTTGGTAGCCGTTGCAATTAGGGTTACGCATTTGAAGCTAGAGAGAAGCGGGAAAGAAGAGAAAATCGAGACCGAAGATACAAGGTTAATTCAATCATTAAAACTGGGCACACTTACATTGTTCGAAATATAAAGTACTTTCACATTGAAAGGGGAATTCAACCCTAGCAATTAATCTAGCTACTCATAATCAATATCTTAAACACAAAATCCATATAAAACTGAGCATAAAACCTCATTAGAAAGCACAGAGAATACAATAGATATAAAGATGCAAACTTTTACTGAACAACAGACCACTCAGGCGAGTCGACATATCACTCCCCTGAGCGTCTGTCTTTGATGAACTCTCTAAGAGGCTCTATTGCATAGCCTTTCTCTCTCTCTAGACTCAACTAAACCCTAATCTTTCTATGCTATTTTATGATCCTCTTGGCCTCCTCTGCAAATGACCTCAAACTTTTCCTTTCATAGATAGCAGCACTCCTTGATCATTGTTAGGATTTAGCCATGTCCTCAGCTCATCAGGATAGCCACACCTCTACCTGGTTTTTTAACATGATTCCAGCTGCATGTTCTTGTCATTTTGCTTGATCTATACGGCCACAAGGGCCACATAGGTTGCCTCGTCCTTGGCCTCTAAGCATTTGTCACTTGCAGTGAAGTTTCCGACATTTCGGTCAAAAATGTGTTCCTGGAATTGTTTTATGGACAGCCAACTAGTCCTGCACTTGTCTCTAAAATTGGACTTTTGGTACAATTCGATAGCGTTGCCAATTTTCTAATTTTCCAACTATTTTTACCATTTTTTCAATTAGGTCTCTAATCAAAGGAAAGTATGAAAATAACTTAGAAGTACATAATGCTAGCCTAAATTATACTATATGATAATGGAAAGAAGACTAAAAGCAATGCTCACAATCATGCAAATTTGACATCATCAACAATCTCTCGTTATAAGACTTTTTCTTAACTAATAAACATAAACCATTCATTTTTCCAAACAAATACACCCAAACACATAAACACACACACGCACACGCACAGTCACACACACACACACACACATATTTATATAATGGGCCAGTTTTTTTCCCACATGACATTCACTCTTAAAGCCACCTAAGATATGTGCACTTGTAATTTTGTCTTTAAATTTGGAATAATTTTTTTCATGTGTCAATTCCTCATCAAAAGTAATAAAACTATTTCAACTTTCATGGATTAATACTTAATTTAATAATTTAAAGATATTCCAAAAATAAAATATGTGTAAGTTACAAGCAAAATAAGGTATGTATTTTGTAAATTAACAAGTCTTAGTCCCTAAATTTTTAAAAGGTTTAAAAATTATGAAATGATTAATAAATCACCAATATAAAGGATAAAATTGTAGGTTTTACTAGTAACTAATTGTAATTAAGAAAATATTTAAAATTAAATTGCCTCTGCTAGGGGATGATAATCTATGGTGACGACTAGTATGGACAAAGTGCTTAAACATGTAGGTGAAAAAGAGATGATATTCTACAATAATTTTTTTTAAAAAAAAAAAATTGCATGAGTAAGCCAAATGTAGGAGACATTGGGCAATCCGGGACAATGACTCTTAAACTAGGATGAATACTAAGGTGAAACAAATAGATGAAGCATACAGTACAATGTATTCGCTACTCCCTATGCCTATAGATGGGAAAGCAAAACATAGAAGATTATGTGGAAGATTTGTATTGTAGTCATGATAGCTGCAAGGTGAGAATTGGATAAACACACATCTTATTAACCTCTTCAAAGGTGAATAATTATAGCTAAGATGTAAAAAAAATAGTGAGTCACTAGCCTTATAACCTGCATTATGTGAAGCAAACAAGTGTTACCTTAGTGTAAAACAGTTTTAGTGAAAACATTATTCACTTGTAAAATAGTTTCACATAAAAACAATGAAAATGTATATAATCAAAACACTTAGCATTATAAAATAACAATATGATGGGTACGTGAATTAGGACAAGGGACCATCTCAAGCCTATATAACACAGTAGACCGTGAACCCAAGTCAGATTACAACTCTTAGGTATTTAGCCCAGACATTTACTCTTTATAACTCTTTCCTTATGTCTCCCTTGGTACCAACTCCTGATTACTCATGAGCATCAAAACTCTAGCAAAGATAACTACTTATCTAACCAAACCCGATACTTGACTCGTTTAGTTTTGGTTACGAAGTCATGGCCCAACTCTTAACTCTAGCATGCATAAATAATATTCACAATGATGAAGTGCACACCAGAATACATTGAATAATAACATTTTAAAAACTCTACAAAATTGGTAAACACCATCGGAATATTTAACATTCACTTAATCAATCATATCATCAAAACCAACATTCCACGTATAAACAATTCAACTTTATTTCAAATACAGTAACAAGTAAAACACATATCTCGGGGCAGTAAAGTACACCACCGAGTCATTAAACGATATGCATTTGATATTCAACAATATTTACAAGAACGTGATCAAGTGTGTCGTATCTTTTGAACATATTCCCACACTCCCAGTTTTTAAAATAGTTTTAGAAAGAGTTACAATACTCTGCATTATATGCAACCGTACATAGTTAATAACCCATTGAGATCATTTTATCACTTAGGGTTTTTTCATTGTTGAACTACATGCGGGAATAGTTTTGTCCAGTAGTTGATGTTCCCCTATGTCTATAGAAACTTATAATTTAGAATAGGGTTCATGGATTCTAATACCTTTCGTTATCATATCTAAGTCAGCATTTGACACTTTAATAACCTTATGATAACTTAAATGAATTCTTGTTCAAATCTGAAAATAACACGAGGTTGGTTTTAAAATATATAGAAGTAGTTTTTATGTTAATTTGCACGAATAAACTATATTAATTCATGATGAACTAGCCTATAAATATTATATTATTGAAAAGATCTATGAATCTAGTTTAATAGGCAAAACGATTTTTAATTTGGAGTTTTCTACGAAGAGTTATCTGCATTTTCTTAAAATCGCGCAATGCTGCCTGTAGCACCCCTGTTTACGAGTTTTTACTACTCTCTATTAAGTTTTGCATAATTAACTCATGTTTAAACACTCTAATGTCACTCTGAGCTAATGATAAACTCAACTACTAATTAAAATATTATCTAATGTAACATATATATATATATATATGCATATATATACACACACTAAAGAGAGTTCTTTTAATTACCTCTCTAAGCCGAAATTGTTTCAAAGTCGTAAAGAAATTCTTCTTCCTACCCTTTTCTTCCTCTTCCAAGCTTTCACTCGCTCACCCCTAGTCACTCTCACTCTCACTCTCTATTTGTTTTTGGTTTTTCTAAAATTGATGTGTAACCTCATCTCCAACTCCCCTTTTATAATAAATGAGCTCATGTGTGCTTCACCTAGTATCTTTAGATCCTAAGTATTATGGCTCATCACTTATGGGCTCCAACTAGCTTTGTTTACTCATGTTCTTTTTGGTGAATATGATGTATTTTTCATCAATTTCTTATGTTGTAGACTGATGATTAATAGTGTATAGACTCCTTATGTCACACTAGGTTGATGAGTAACCATTTTGGTTTGTCATATCATCAATTATAGGTATGAATATGCAGCTTATAAAGGTTGCCTAGTCATCAGATGGTTGGCAGGTGAATTTGGTAAGAACTCCAAGTATTGCATGGCGAGGGTTTAACTTCCCTTTTTTTGGCATGTCTAACTCTTGGGCAGCTCATACTAGTCTCTCTTTTATTTTTTTTTGTTTTCCTTTTAGCTTTAATTTACGTTTTTCTTTTTAACACAAATAACTAAACTAACACTTTGATGTCCCCCTAATAATCCCTAAACTTGGCCAGCCGAGATTTGATCATTTTTCTTTTTATTTTCTTTTTTTTTCATATAAAATAATCATTTGTTTATTCTAGTCACTAACTATATTGAAATTTTTCATAAAGCAACATCAAGTATTTCACACACCCTATTAGTAGTAAAATAAATAAGGTCGAATTAAAAATCAAGACTGTTACAACTGAACCACGGATAGAAAGCACAGAAGCAATATACACTGCCTTACTATACACAGATGAGCGAAAGATAGCTTTTGTCGTCTTTCAATTAGAAGGAGTAGCAAAAGATTGGTGGAACCTAATGAAACCCCGATGGGAGCAAGAACAAACTCATTGTGCCTGGGTACATTTTGTTAAGGAATTTACTATTAGATTTGTACTGGTACCACTATAGTGCGTGAAAGGAAAGAGGAGTTTATCAACCTCCGTCAAAACACTACTATTGTGATAGAATATGAAGTTACCTTTACAAAACTATCCAAATTTATACCTAAACTTGTAGAAACTAATAAAGAGCAAAAATTTAGGTTCACGCAAGGCTTTAACCTAGAAATCTAAGCTGCCTTAGTTGCCACTACATATGACACATTTGAGAAAGCATTTGAAGTTGGCCAATGAGTAGAATATAACCTCCAGAAGCTTAGAAATTTCCAAAACCAGAAATGACTGAATTTCGTTAAAGGGCATAAACCAAGTAAGGATACATCTATTGACCATGA